GTTACTCACTTATGCACCCAGCGAAATGATTAAAATGTTAAATTATAACGGAAGAAGAAATTCTAAATTTCATGTCAGTGAAAAAAAATCGCCGTCATGGATACCGAAACGTCAATATGGTGAAGCTGACCTTAAAGTCGGGAAGAAATGTCCCCAAATCTATGTATTTATCTCAGTGTCTGGAAATCTCCTCAAGTTCTTATTTCACGAGTAGCATTTTAGCATATTCCGAATTTCAGCTTGATTTGTTGAACTACCTTGAACTATCTCCAAGCAAAATTTTGTCGAGGGTTGTTTTCCGACCAAACTCACGTGCATGGTTTTTTAGGTTAGCTTGCATGCTTGGCCGATTTTGGGGCAACAATGACGAAGCGATTATTAGCATATTCATTAGCGTCACTCGGCGTGACTTCGTGTGGGTCTCGGTATCGACCAATTGATGCTGGCAAAAGGGTGATATTTATTAATAATTAACTCGTGAAGGAGGCTATTCTGCAAATTTTCACTGCAAACCATAATTGATAGGAACCTTATTAATATTCGTGAGGTTTGAAAAAATCTATAGATGTTGCAAACACCAGTTTTACAACTTTTAAAAATGCACGTAACCAGGCCTATTTTTCCAATTTCAACGAAAAGTAATAACATATCTAAGCGATATTTTAGCACATATATAGTTGGATCATTATAAGGGAAACAATCCCTGAAAGTTGCAAGAAGATTCGGTCTCCCAAACGGGAGAAATAAATTTTCAAAGATATCGCCCGTCAACGTAAACATGTACGTGTGCATGTTGTTTTATTCAAAATAAAGTGTTACGTAACCTTTACAATTAGCCTTCGCAACCACACGGCGTTTGGGAAGCATTCTGAGAGTGAGATATAGTTCGCATGCATGATTGATCAATGAGCGCTTCTTCTTTTTTTCTCTCTCTCTGTTTTCGAACGAATTTCGTTAAAATATTACACTCAGTGGTAAATATAAAATGAAATGTCAAAATCTTGTTTTCCAAACGACCAAGGAATTAGCTTTCGAAGCCTCGAGCAATCGATTCGCTATACGTGTTGCATGGTGAGGCATTCACCACGCAAGTCACGTGTACACGCTCGCGCACGTGCCCCGAGACGTGTAAATGTCATGTGTAATAAAAATATTCATATCCTTCTGATTCTTAGCCAATCAGAGTGCTCTGTCCAATTTTGGTAGCACGTTGCATGGCCTTGTGCAGTCATTGTTAAGCAAAGCTAATCCGATTACGTACGTATAGACGCTATAGCAGAGCAGTAAAATTCATTCATCACACAAAAATAACCCTTTGAACGTTGTGTTTCTCTGGAAATATGCTCAGTATGATTGAAATGTTAAATTATAACGGAAGACAACATTCTAAACTTCAGGTCAGTGAAAAAAAATCGCCGTCATCGATGCCAAAACGTCAATACTGGTTACTGGTGTAGCTGACCTTCAAGTCTGTAAGAAATCGTTCGAAAACTTCCCCAAATCTATGTATTTATATCAATTTCTATGAATTTTCCAAATTGTTATTTCACGAGTAGTTGAACACTTTTATCACCAAAGTACATGTATATTCCAAATTTCAGCTTAATTTGTTGTTGCAAACGCTAGTGCTACACCTTGAACCATCTCTTAGGAAAATTTCGACGAGGATTTTCTGCCGACCCAATTCACGTGCATTGTTCAGCACAAGCGCCGTAGGCGCTACGGTTGACCGATTCCGGCCAAGCTACATAATAACGTATGGTAGATTAGCAAATTCATAACCGTCACTCGGCGTGTTTTGGCGTGGGTCTCGGTATTGACCAATGGAAGCCGGCAAAAAGGGTGATATTTATCAATTAATAATTCGTGAAGGAGGCTTTTTCTTCAATTTTTCACCAGAGGCTTGAAAAGATTGACAGATATTGCAAACGCCAGTGTTACAACTTTCAAAAATGCATTTAACCAGTCCTGTTAAGTCAGAATGCTCGTTTAGGCCAAAAAAAAATACTCGGTCTCTGGTCAGCGCGCGTCGATTTTAATCATGCGCGCCAACTTTTTTTCTTCTTCAAATCAACACGGAAGCTACAACAGCGCCCTTTATTGCCGCACCTCCTCAAATTTTTGTACCAAGGAGCACCAAGGAATTGGGAAATTGCACCAAGGCAAATGATAAAGGGCACCAAGGCATATTATGGAGGACACCAATGTATAATGAGGACACCAAAAAGCAAAATAATACCCACCTTGTCTGTACAATTCAAGCTTGAAAAAAAAGCCACCAAAAAAAAAAAAAAAAAAACGCGTCGCCGCATCAATTCCGGAACGTCGGTCTGACCAGAGACCGACTATTTTTGTTGTTGGCCTTATTGATAAATTTATTATTTGGTATATTTCATCCAGTCACACTTTTGCAGTCGCCATATGTCATGTTTTGTTAGTACGTCATCCCAAAGTCGTAAGTGAAATATACATAACTCATCATTTATAATCCCTTTGTTTGGTTATTATGGACACGCTTTGGGTTCTGGGATAAGTTTACGGTATTTAATTTGGGGAAAACACACACAAGTATAACATAGTTTATAATGTACATGTATGTGCATTGTCGTTTATTACATGTGACAATAGGGTCATTGCGTGTAATGGTACAAAATGTACATGTAGACCCACAGACAAGCCTGGTGTCATCGATCCTGTTAATTGCCTGATGTTATGTGATTAGTTATGATTGCTTAACTTCAATTATAAAAAAAATTGTTGTTGATTCATTCTTACAATTTACAACTGTTTAAATTAAATTTTGTAATTTGTTATGGACAGATTAAACCGTGTTCACCCGATTACACATACAAGCCTGTCAAGTCTGAAGTTGAGATTTGGTACCCGACACCCCGTCACAAGGCCTATTTTTCCAATTTAAACGAAAGTAATGAATATATCACAACGATTTTAGCACATACTTGGATCATTAAGGGAAATAAATCCTGAAAGTTGCATGAAGATACGGTCTTCCAAACTGGAGAAATTCATTTTCACTCGCCAACGTGAAGATTTCTGTGTACATTTAGTTTTATTCAAAATAAAGTGTTATGTAACCTTTAGAAATCTCCCTTCGCAACCACAAGGCTGTGTGTACAAACGCGGGTGCAGATTATTCAAGTCGGGAATCGACGTACGCGCGTGTTGGGGCCGAGGATGAATCCCGTGTGTTATTATACCGCGCGCTACACGTAACCCCGGAACGGTATGCGGTAGTCAACCCCGGTGGTTTCGCTCGTACCCCGACCCTGCAAACAGGGCGCTGGGAAGGGCTGATGAGCTTCACAAAATCTTGTGAAGATGGCATTCTGGGTAATTTATCATGACCTATGCATAAAGCATGTAGCTGCAGCTGTTTAAGACCGTACAGTTACCCAATGCGCGCAAGTGCTATCTGAAAACCTCATAGAAATGCACACATTCCATACCGGATGTGATTTCTTTTTCATTGCAGACCATGTGGACAAAATTTGAGCAGTCGCTAGCCTTGGTCAATGCTCTCGTCGTTATTCGTCCCGTACGCGGTCAATCGTCGGCATATATCCTCACGCGCTATGCACATGCATGTAAAAATACAGCGCGAACAGCGACCTCATGCGGCCACTATTTTTTTATGCAAATCAGTTGGGGACGATCTCGAGCCTTGGTTCAATCGTCGGCAAAAGCTTATGTTTTTCTTTATTTTGCGCTGGATTTCTAGCGCACGACCTCGTATGCGAATACAGATAAGTGTAGGCGGGGCTAATATGTGGAGTGTCCAATCACACCTTGGTAAATCCGGACGTCATCAAATTATTTGCAGCTATTCGCCTTTTGCGGACGTGACAGGAACCACAGTTTTTGTGCATTGGTGCCGTGTGCAGAGAATCACAATGTGTACGTGTATGGATTATGTACGGTGCCACGTTTCACTATGCAAGTTTCCACGCAACGATCGACCAATAAGAAAACGACATTTAAGGTCAGCTAAGGCTATTAACATAATGAGCACCACCCCCAAAACCTCACATGGACGATTGAACCAAGGCTCTCGATCGTCCCCAACTGATTTGCATATAAAAATAGTGGCCGCGTGAGGTCGCTGTTCGCGCTGTATTTTTACATGCATGTGCATAGCGCGTGAGGATATACACGTGAGGATATAACGACGAGAGCATTGACCAAGGCTAAGCAGTCGCATGATATGCAAGTTGACCCTTCGTGAATTCAAAACGGAGCCGCGCGAGTGACGGGAATTGAAAATTTACATTACATTTGAAGATCTTTCTATACATTATTACGCTTTTCAACCCAAAAAGAATGTGATGACCCAGTCTTAACGGCCGTTTAAAACCTTGCAGGGTCGTGGCCGTGAAGACTTGCATGTCACAGGTAATTAAGGCAAAATCTATCAAATCAGAGCGTAAATTCATCAGCCCTTCCCAGCGTCCTGTTTGAAGGGCGGGGGGGGGGGGGGGCGGGGGGGGGCCTATACGAGCGAACGCCGGTGGTACGCGGCGGCGCAGGTGGGCTTAAGCCGTCTAATTACTGAAGTTCAAGTCTACTATAGACCAATAATCATGTTGCGACCATCTTTTTTTTTGCCCATTCAAATCAACGTAACCAAAGCGAGGCTGGAAGGAATCATTAAGAGCCTTTTGCACAAACAAACCCCGTATCATTCAGTACTGTTATTGGATACAGAGAACATGACCCAAACTGAGCAGACTTCGGTCTCACTTAGGCAGGTCAAACAAGATAACATCTCATCTGATGACCTTGTGGATTTGTTCAGTCTTTTTTTGAGGAGGGTAACCCACGTAAGCAGCAATAGAACTGGGATACTGATCCACACTTTGTAACGGGTGGGTAATGAGTTGAACCTTGGCCGGTAACCGGAGTTCCAGTAAGCGAGTGAATGTTACCACCTGCCCGACTTTTATCTTTTAGTTTGCCTATTTTTTTTTTATTCTCCTCTCGAAACTCCCACCGTGAGGTATTAGCCTGTGAGTCATGGAACGTTACGAAACGCCTGATCTACGAGTAACTCTTTATGAAAATGGAACCTCGATTCGAGACATTGCTAACGAGAAGGTTAAAGACGAAGACCAAGATGAACCAAAAAGAGAGGTAAGAAATGAGAGCAGAATACAGTGGCGTAGCAAGGTCAGTTGGAAAGGGCACTTGCACCTCCGTGCTGAAATGTAGACACATTTTTATTCTACAAACATAATAACACACTCCAACTCCAAAGCGAGCAGTGACTGGGATGTGTTGAAAACAAAAGAGTTAAAAGTCCAAAATCTACTACTTTAGAGCGACGACTATACGCCGGCAGCTAGGCAGCTAGCCAGTATAGAGGGTCAGGGATTGGTTTTTAGACTTTATTTGAGTGGTAGAAGGTTGATTGCGAGCAGTTGAACGTGACCACAGCTTTGCAACCAGCTACCCGGTGGTTACACGAGTTGCGGGTATTCTGCAGCGACGTTTCGAGCTCACGTCCACACAGTTTGAAACTCACGCACACACGGCGGAAGCTCACTCACACGACGTTTAAGCTCACGCACACGATGTTTCATACTCACGACGTTTGCCTGTCCCTTTTAATAATTCCAATAATTCTGAGTTCAGGCCAATCAAAAATGAAATTTTTAACCGGAATTACTTTCTTGGGCTGATATTTGGACTTAATATCCCTTACATAAAATACTTCAATTTGCGACACATCAACACACCTTGGAAATTACTACTTTTTTTTTTAAAGTAAAATCCATCTTTCTATTTCGTGATAACCTTGTATTCACCTATAGAAATTGCTCTGTGCAGACTTATACAATCTTTTGTTCCCTATTGTGCAAATGTCTCCAGAGGGTACCGTGTAACAGATCACGACGTTTGAAACTCACACACACTAAACACACTCATTTAAGCTCACGCACACGACGTTTCAAACTCACGCACACGACATTTGCCCGTCCGTTGTAGAACACCATAATTCTGAGTTCAGGCCAATAAAATAAATAGGCCCAAAAGTGCCTACGCCGGACAAATCACGATTTGCATGCCCTCCAATTCTCCGTTATTATTAGAGTATTTTGAGGGCCATGAACTTGAGGGTTTGTACAACAGAAGGGTGGAAGCCAGAGGACTGCGAGCTTGTATTTCTGTTAAATTCGGAGGAAATTAGCCTCTAAAATTTGTCTATTTTGCAAAAATGGTTCGAGCGTAGGCGTCATTTTAGGGTTGATCATCTTTGGATGGAGTTGTCTCCCAAAGGTAATATTTGTTCAACCCTAAAAAACGAACAGAAAATGAAAGATGATGAAATAAGCTTAAATTTGATGTATATTTCAAACACCTTGGAGAGTTGTAAGTATTCCTAAGTGCGCATAACTATCATTGAGGTCTATAGAAGTTTATTTACTGGTCTGTTTATTTACTGTTCTTTTTATTTAAAATAAAATGACGTACCGGTAACGATTTAATAAAATCGACTCCGATTGGTCGCAGAAATCAGAAAAGCAGATTGAACGTTTTGTTGAAGTGCACTTTTCTACTTTTTCTGGGTTTTTTGGCTACCAGAAAAGCAGATTGAACATTTTGCTAAAATGCATATTTCTACTCGTCTGCTTTTCTGCTACAAGAAAAGCATGTTTAGCTTTTAGCCCTTCCCTGGCGTTTCAAAATGGGACATCTGCTTTTCTGCTACCAGATTGAACGTTTTGTCAAGGTGGTTCAATTTAGTGGCCATCTGCTTTTCTGCTACAGAAACTGAGCAGATTGAACGTTCCCGAACGCAACTATGCCAATGTAGTACCCACCAAAAATGGACAGTTCTAAATATCACAATGTTATCATTGTTCACAGATTTTCCATTTGGTTTGAATAGGGAAACTGGGCCAGTTAGCAACTTGGTGAATTTGAAGCTCATCAATACTAAGGTTTGGGAAGACTACTTGATGATATCTGGAGACAACGTAAATGCGCACAATTTTCGGGTCTAATAGTAGCCATTTTGGATCGTTACTATGTCCTCATGATTATTAAGTCAAATATATGTTTAAGAAAATGTTATTTAAGTAAGGTTTTTAATTAGAATTACCAAAATAAGGCTTTTCAAAAAATAAAAAATAAAGAATATACCCTAATATGGGAATTAATATAGGCCTATTACACTGCAGGGATTAACAATTTAAGCAGATTAGGTATATTTAGGGTCAAAATTAAGGGTGGCATCCACCTACATTGTCTTCTCCACCCTTTGACTGATTGATCTGACATGGTTGCTTGCTATTACCACAAAATGCCGTCCAAAGTGTCATATTCCACTTTGGCTGGTCCACTATAAGCCACGAAAAGACTAGAGTTTGTTTAGCGACAGATGCAGAAACCTTTTCTAGGCCTATTTAGATCAAGATTTTGTTATCGGTAGTTGGCACCGATTTTACTACAGTATAAGACATTCTATTTGAAACGTCTTGTTTTTTTTTAAGGATGTAGATGATCCATTCTACCTCTACGACCTCGGCGATGTAGTGACCAAAGACAAGTTGTGGGCGAAGTTATTGCCAAATGTCGAAGTATTCTTTGGTAAGTAGACTTACGCACCCATGTGCTTCATATGCTACACGTCCGCTCTTCTCCCTCCCTCGTTTGTTGCTCGAAATATTTACAAAATTGCTCGAAATATTTACAAGGGTGTATGAAACTAATTTGTTGATGTTTTAGATTAGCTGTACTAGACATCTCGTAACTGCGTTCCGTTACTTTATTTCCTTGTCATGTTTTCACTGTGAGCAAGGCTTTCTCATTCAATTAGTAAGTATACATTTGGAGGATAATTACCAAAGTTCCTACGTGCCTTTAATTCCAGTCCTGGTTTTTTGGTTCCTTTAATTGCTGTTGTATGCATTTTTTCCAGCCGTGAAAAGCAACCCGGATCCAGTGATCATTCGTCTCTTGATTGGACTTGGTAAATCGTTTGATTGTGCTAGCAAGGTACGTATCTTTGATTTTTTTGGGGGTCAAAAGTAATTATCTTAACTTCGAGCGTACAGATATATATCAGGGGGTGAAAATAACGTGTTGACAACAACCCTGATAGTATCAAGTTACACACATGTACTTAGAAAGTTCGTGATTTCCATCAGATTTATTTTAATGGGCCTATTTTCGGTTGGGCCTATACTATCCAGTAATGTATTTTGTTTGAACCGTTCCTTGAAGAAAGAGATCAAAATGGTTCTAGATCTAGGAGCAAGCGCTGATCGCATTATCTTCGCTCATCCCTACAAACAAGAATCGCATCTTCGTTTTGCGAAAGAGAAAGGAGTACGACTCATGACATTTGACACGGCGGAAGAACTGCAGAAAGTCAAACGGGTTCACCCTAAAGCGCAGTAAGTATTGATTAAGGATTGTAACCCATAAATGACATTTGGATTCATCATAATTGCAAAGTATTCACAAAACATCGTATGGAATAGAATTAACTACGCTTTACATAGGCCTACCAACGTACAGAGTGAGTCATAAAAAAAGCCCAAAAAATTATAGTTCGTATTTAAAAAATATGTAGCACCAAAACAAAATAGTGACAGGAAAGCCAATTTCATAAGCTACTTTAAAATAACAAAATTACTGAAATTGTTCAATCCGTTCAAAGAATATCACCATTTAAACGCAATGACTCTAAAATCTCTTTCGTCCATAAATGCGATGTCAAGAATCGTCGTCACAGTGTCTTCAAACATCACCAGCGATAAAACCTTCTTTTAAAATTTAGAAATATTCAGCAAGGCCCTTTTGAATGCCCATCTTTTAAAAAACAAGTGGATTTTATAAATCACATTGTTTGCCTAAGCAGGGTTGTTAATCAAGATTTTGTGTACTACAGTTATTGACAGTTGTTGAAACAAGTATTCTGTGTCATTTTTGTTGTTGTTCCAAACAGTAAGAATGCACAATAAATTGCTTTATTCTTCTTCTTTTTTTGCTGGACGAAAGAGGTTTTAGGGTCATTGCGTTTACTTCTTGATATTCTTTGAACGGATTGAGCAATTTCAGTATTTTTTTCATCTAAAAGTAGCGTATGAAATTGGCTTTCCAGTCGTTATTATTTTTGGGAAAATATGAAATATAATTTTGGGGGTTTGGGTTCCGCTTTTTTTTGACTCACCCTGTATTATAATTATTGTGTTCATTTATTTACGCGGAAGCGAATAAAAGTTGACTCAGACGAATGCACCAAAGCCCTTTCAAGGGTCGGCTTTGAGGTAAAAACAAAACCCTGGTTATTCTGATGTTTTTTTGGATGCCTTTTCCCGATATTTTTTTTTTCTCTTTGTTCATAGGCTCGTACTTCGTATACGTTATGACGACGACACGGCTACAATTAAGTATGGAGCAAAATTTGGTTGTCGCGGGGAAGAAGTACGCCCCCTCCTGGAGATTGCCAAGAAACTAGGACTAGATGTCGTTGGTATCAGGTGAAACAATTTTTACATGTACATTATCAGAAACTTGCTGAATATTTCAGAAAGAGGCAACAAGAAAGAAAAAAGGCCAGGATGTCCTCTATCCAATGATATTAATTTCAATACGTTATTGTCATGGATGGATGAGAAAACTATGAAAGCGGTCAAAATCAGCATTGTGACAAGTTAGTGCACATTGGAAAAGTGATAATATAGGGACAATGATTAGGTACTTCATTGTAGGAATGAAATGAGACAATCTTTCTGATCACTAATAATGCACGTAATCACTGGTAATACACAGCTCACATCGTCGCCTCTGACCGCCCGCCTTACCATTCCTTGGTCTTGACGCTGATTCACCTTACCCACTATCCCGGTACTTAACTCCTAAAAAAGGCACAAGGGGTGAGATCTGGTGATCTTGGGACCATTTAACTCGGTGAAAAAAAATCACTCTGCCACCATAAGCTGTATACAGTTTCCATAAAGAAAACACTAACCAGTTAACCAAAGATATTTCACGTTTAAGTTTACACTGAGAAAGTAAAAGAGAGCAAAAAACAATCCAAATACAACCAGAGTACAACTTGGTCCGTGGGTTAATTGCCGGTTCCGAAAATCGCCAATTCTCGATGAATTTATACACCATCCTGTTTACTTATTAAAAGCAGTTACATGCTATCCCAGTATTTTCCCAAACATCAGTCGGCTTAAGCGGGCCACATTAAAGAACAAGTTCCGATTAGGAATTGATTTGGACACGAAGCAATGTTTTTCAGGTACATGTACCGGTATAAATTGTTGAAGTTATTCCGAGTTAAACCTATCGCACTTCTTTTTCAACAGGGCATGATTTAGGCATGCCATAGCCTGGCCAAGCTATATGCAATTTGGTATATAACAAGAAATAATTTACGATTTAATAATAATTTAGTAATGATAGAAATAATTGCTCTCAAATGAAACACCAAATGAAAAAAGCACATAGAACAAGTTTTTTTCACGGGCGCCGCTAAAGGAGGGTCTGGAGGTGTCACACCCTCCCCCATCCCTTCGTCGTTTTTTGTTGGCAAAACCACCACGTGTCCTTTCCGCAAATGTGCCGCAACGAATAGTGCTTCCTTTTGTCCGAAATTGTCCATGATCATCTTGAAAAATGCTTGATTTTTCATAGTGAAGCTACCACTTGTAAAAGTCTATCATCTTTTGTTTATCTATTTATTTATTTATTTATTTCAAAATCTTTATACAGAATACAAAAATATCAGCTCAAAGGCTGCTTTACATTATGGTCCTGTGATAAGAAATAAAAATACTAAAAATAGTGAGAGAAAAAACAGCAATTAAAATGATAAAATAGCAAAATGAACAATTAAGATACTAACAATAAAAATGATTATCTATTAAGATGGAAAAGATGTACATTAAAAAAATAGTTTCTTTAACCCCATTTTCCCACCCTTTAGGTTTATAAAACCGTTATTGATTCATTGTTGACCTAAGCAGGTCAACATCTGCAGCTGTCAAGTTGTTCTGTAGAATAGCACTGGTAAAATGGTAAAATAAGCAATTATGAGCGTAAAAAAAATATGTTAAAAATAAGGTTTCCTATACATGTATTTAAAACCATCAATAGAAGATGCATTTTGGACCTTAGCAGGTAAGCTGTTCCATATAACCGCACCAGAATAACTAAAAGATTGCTTAAAACATTCAATGATAGGTTTAAGGGGAACAACATTAAGAGAATCGGCGTTCCTTGTATTAAATCCATGCCTATCAAAATACATCTCAATATTATTACAAAGTATGTCTGGGGCTAAACCATGAACACATTTATACATATTACAAGCTAAATAAAAATCCCTTCTTTGATCAAAGGTCTGCCAGGAAAGCGCTCTAATAATTTCCTCACCATGAGAGTTAACATAATCAAAGTTATTGGCGACAATCCTGGCTGCCTGCTTGTGCAGTCTAAGAAGAGTCTTCCTTTTCAGCCATGTGGTTGCGAAGGGCGATTTCTAAAGGTTACGTAACACTTTATTTTGAATGAAACTGGCGTGTACACACACGTTCACGTTGGCGGGCGAAATCTTTAAAAATTTATTTCTCCCGTTTGGAAGACCGTATCTTCATGCAACTTTCAGGGTTTATTTTCCTTATAATGCTCCAAGTATGTGCTAAAAATCGTTGTAATTATGTTCTTTACTTTTCGTTTAAATTGGAAAAATAGGCCTGGCTACGTGCATATTTGAAAGCTGTAACACTGGCGTAAGCAATGTCTGTCAATCTTTTCAAGCCTCATAAATATAAATAAGGTTCCTATCCATTATGGTGTGCATTAAAATTTTGCATAAAAGCCTCCTCCATGAGTTATTAATTGATAAATATCACCCTTTTTGCCGGCTTCCATTGGTCAATACCGAGACCCACACCAAGTCACGCCAGGTGATGAATATGCTGATATAGGCTACCCGTCGTTATTGTGCTGTGCCAGGCCGAAATCGGTCAACCGTAGCGCCTACGGCCAAGGGCGGATCCAGAACACAATTTTTGGGGGGGGGCCAAAAAATTTTGGTCTCCCAAAAAAGTGGGTCCAAAAAAATACGGCGTGGTGTTCGGGGCCCGCTTAAGGGCCCCGAAATTTTTTTGGATTCTAGATGCTCTGTGGTGCGATCTGAGGCAATTTCTGACCACTTTAACCAATGTTTTTTTTAGGAAAAGATGTTGGTGTACTCATTGCCAGCCTTTATTGCGATGTCACATAAAAAAAAAAATTGGTTTCGTTTTGGGGGGGGGGGGGCCATGGCCCCCTTTGGCCCCCCCCCTGGATCCGCCCTTGCCTACGGCGCTATGAAAACCATGCAAGTGGGTTGGGTTGGAAAAGATTTTCGTCGAGATTTTCCTTAGAGCTAGTTCGAGCAGTAACACAAGCGTTGGCAACAACAGATTAAGCTGAAATTCGTAATATACTTAGATGATATAAGTGTTCAATTACTCGTGAAATAACAACTTTCGTAAATTCATAGAAATTGATATAAATATATAGATTTGGGGACGTTTTCGAACGATTTCTTCCAGACTTGAAGGTCTGCTTTTCCAGTAACCAGTATTGAGGTTTCGGCATCGATGACAACGATTTTTTTCACAGACATGAAGTTTAGAATTTCTTCTTCCGTTATAATGTAACATTTCAATCATACTGAGCATATTTTCTGAGAAACACAACGTTCAAAAGACCATGGTTTTGGGGGGTTCACGAATTTCACTGCTCTGTTACAGCGTCTAAATACGTAATCGGATGGACTATAAACGCATCAATTATAATGATTATAAGACACTTACACATGTATTCGGTGCACATTATCAGTATTAAAAGCAATATGTAGGCCTATAAACATTTCTAGGCCCAATGATTATTTTTTGTCAGGTCTACCTTCACAGAAGAAGGGTTTTTCAATTGTTTTCTCACCACTTTGCTCTTATCAATATTCATGTTTTCTTCCTGCTACAGTTTCCATGTAGGCAGTGAGTCTTCCAACCCTCAGATTTTCAGGGATGCAATTCGTTTCACTCGGCCGTTGTTTGATATTGGCACATCTCTCGGATTTAACATGAAGCTGCTAGACCTGGGTGGTGGGTTTCCCGGAAGATTGTACCCAAAGGCAACCTTCGATAAGGTAAGGGATGAAATGTTTGCTTTCAGAAATGTGACATTCGAATTATCAAGTTTTCCTGCAAAAGAGAGGCACGTTTTCCTTACTCAAAGTTTCCTACACAAAAGGTTTCCTTTGGGCAAAATATATGAGTTGCGAACGTTTCGATGAAGTTGTCCCCTTACATGCACAGTTTCACGATAAGGTTCCATTGTAGAATACTCGTAGACCAACTTCACTATTAAAAACATTAACTTCTTCAGCATGGCACCTAGTCTATGTAATAGACCATGGCTATAGCCATGGTCTAAATTACATTTGAGCAAATTCGCTTATTAATTAGGCAAGGCAACCGCATTTTTACCGCTAGATTTTACCTGCAAATAAACTCCCATAGACACTAGTGCTAAATGCCCATACTTCAAAATTCTTTGAAAAATACTCAAAACTCTCACAGGTATTCAAGCTGCACAGAAAAATGATGATCAATGTGTCATCTTTCAATTTCTTTTCAATTTATGGTGGGCTGACCATTGACTTTTCGAGATATTATCACGCAAAGAAGACGACCCCTATTTTCCCCAAAGCGGAAAAGTAGCCATCTTGAAAAACGATCCCTCCACAACATGGCAAAATAGCGCCACTTTCGAGCACAATATCATCCAAAATGCTCAGAAATGGAAGCCCCAAGTCCGGGCCAGAGGTTCACTACCATATCTCTTCAATTCCCTAATTTTACGGCGCTCAGAACTCTCTAATATGGAATATTTTGAGGGTATAACTTTTATTCATGAGCTTGGCGGATCGATTTACCGGTGTGCACCCCTAATATGTTACGCGATACGCGCCCGGCTGCTGTTATATTACAAATCACTCCATTCGAATTGACCAATCACAAGTTTAGTCCTGATTTGGGAATGAAATGACGGCACGATTAAGTAAAGTCGACTCCGCTTGGCTGAGGCGCGAGATCGCTTAAATCTGCATGCTTTGACATATCAGACGTTATACAGGAGACATGGCTCCGTGGATAACGGGTGATCATACTCAGAATACATGGCACCCCGGTTCATTGGTAAAAAGGTTAAAAAAAAAAATAAAAAAAAAACACTCAAGAAAGTAAAGAGACGGGCAGCGAAGTTCATCACAGGAAACTACAGGAAAAAGGAAAGTGTCGCATGCATGATAACCAACTCAGATGGTCCTCCATCGAGGAAGTGAGACGACCCATCAACACAGATGACTACTGCAAACCAAAGCCGGGAAGTTATCGGGAAATTTGAGATGATTGGAGTGAGACGTACCCTAGAACGTTTACCATATGTTTTCAGTACAGATTTGAGAAACTAGTCATTGTTTGATACTTGTTTTTATTAGTATTGGTATAAAATATTCATTCATGCATGCGCACATTTCCTTTTCAAGGTTTTTTTTTTCTGTGTGTGTATAAATCCCCCTTTGTAGGAAAATTTCACCCGTAACTTTTAAGGTTGGAATATATCATGTAGTATGTGAAGTACCGTGGCCTCGTGGTCTGGAGCATTTAATTCGTGGTCTGCGGGCAATTCTGCAGGTTGTGGGTTCGAGTCCAGCCTGGGGTCATGGTGCGTGTGCCCTTGGGCAAGGCACTTTGTCACCCATTGCTTCTCTCCACCCAGGAGTAAATGGGAACATGACTGTGAGGGCAGAGATGGTTATTGTGATCGATTCTAGCTTCCTTGCGCCTAACAGGCTGCATCCAGCTGTATACTCCCCATGGAGCTGGTATGGTATTTGGAATGTTTAATTGGCCCAATGATCAGGGGTAATAATAATGTAGAGCGCTCTAATCATAGTCAAAAGCGTTATATATAAAAACCCGTCATTTTTGTTATTATTAAGTAACTTGATTTCGTTGTTGTGTTGCCAGTTTGCAGACGTCATCACCCGGGCACTAGACGAACATTTCCCCGCCAGCAGTGGCGTGCGAATTATTGCCGAACCGGGAACATTTCACACTCGTTCAGCAGGATACCTAGTGGCGAATGTCATTGCCAAACGTGTGAACAAAGTTGACATCAATGAACGGCGTGAAAGAGTATCAGGTAAGCTGGCCTCGAGGCCATTGGTACACATTGTACTATTTTTGAGAGCTATCGTTTAGCTGTCGTCTTGTCTATCATTCTGTAAGTTTCCGTGTTAACTTCTGTTATTCTAGTCCTCCATACCTCCAAACGTTAGTGTCCGTGCACCACTTTTGCTGTATCGCGTAGAAAGAAAGCACATAGTGATAACGTTACTCAGACGTGAAAACGGTAAGGATACCTGAAACAGCTAAAAACTCCCTTATATAACAACAATGCTTTTGAACGCTTGGACAAGAAACACTTGGCATTCTTCTGCCAACAAAATATCATTTCATATTCATCATTCATATACGGTTTTGGAAAGCTGGCAGTTCTGGAAAGACAAGAAGATTCAGAAGATTTCTAAATATTTGCTTTGTCTTTATTTCAGATGGCGATGAACCGTTCATTTGGATATACTACTTGAACGTTGGTGTTTTCAGTGGATTGAATGGGAAACTGTTCGACCCCGAATATTTCGACCTTCCAGAACCCTTACACGTAATGTATAATCATAACATTAGAAACGGGTTTGATGTGATTTATGCATGTGAATTTCGGCAATAGTTGTTCAAAAACACTTTAGGCGCATGCCCCAAGTTCACGTCCCCTTCCAAATTCACTATGGCTACGTGCATTTTTAAAAGATGTAAAACTGACATTTGCAATATCTGTCAATCTGTTCAAGCCTCACGAATACTAGGCGGGCTAATTTTGGGCAGTATAATATCAGACGCCTGCAGGGAATCAATCCATGACATGTAATTTGAGTTACCCGGCCCTCAAAGTCCACCATTCACCCCAGATTAACCCCTGGTATCCCTCAGGCCCTAAACAGTCAATAAAACCAGACACTAACCTCCCCAATGCCAATTGACAGTTCCATTTTGGTCACAAGGGTGATCGAGGTAATTATCCCTATGTGAACAATGCATTTGTACACAAGCCTATGTAAATGCGCACAAGCACACTACGTTTTCCAGCCAATTTCCAACCCCTCCAGTAGGATCACAAGACTGACACCCCCTCTGGTGGATGTACCATGGTCCATACTAGGATCTGGTGATAGATGACCTGGCATGGCTACCACGTGGCTGGGACAATAAAAAACAAAGAAATGTGGAAGCGATTTTATTCACACTGACTCCGAGTAAGGTTTTTAATAAGGGTCCTATCCATTATGGTGTGCAGTAAAAAAAATTGAGAAAAACCTCCTTCACGAGTTATTAATTGATAAATATCACCCTTTTTGCCGGCTTTCATTGGTCGATATCGAGACCCACAGCAAAACAGGCTGAGTGACGCTAATGAATTTCGCTCGTACCCCCCGCCCTGCAAACAGGACGCTGGGGGTACGCTGATGAGCTTCACAGAATCTTGTGAAGGAAGTGGCCTATGACCTTTGTATAAAGCATCTGGCTGCAGATGTTCAAGACCGCAGTTAGACAATGTGCGCAAATGCTATCCGAAAACTTCCCATAGAAATGCACACGTTTCATATCGGATGTGATTTCTGTTTCATTGCGGGCCATGTGGACAAAAGTTTGAGCGTCGCATAATGCAATCCGACCGTTCGTGATTCGAAACGGAGCCTGAGCAACTGTGACGGGAATTGTAAATTTACATCAAATATAAACTTTACAGAATTTCCTACATTATTACGCTTTTCAACGAAAAAAAAATCTCTTAACTGGAATAAAAGAGTAATGAAAGTTCGTCTTAACGGCCGTCCGTTTCAAACCTTGCAGAATCATGACCGTGATGACGCGCAGGTTACAGGTCACGCAAATTCCAACTAATCAGAGCGTGAATTCATCAGAGTATCCCAGCGTCCTGTTGAGCGAACTAATGAATTTGCTAATCTACAATACGTCATTGTGTGGCTTGGCCGGAATCGGTCAACCGTAGCGCCTAAGGCGCTTTACTGAATAATGCATGTGGGTTGGGACGGCAGAAATCATCGTCGAAATTTGCCATGGAGATGGTTCAAAGTGTAACACTAGCGTTTGCAACAACATATTTAGCTAAAATTCGGTATATATACTTAGTTAATATAAGTGTTCAACTACTCGTGAAATAATAATTTTGAGAAATTTCTAGAAATTGATATAAATAGAGAGATTTGGGGAAGTTTCCCAACGATTTCTTCCAGATTTGAAGGTCAGCTATACCAGTAACTAGTATTGACGTTTCGTCATCGATCACGGCGATTTTTTGACATGAAGTTTAGAATTTCTTCTTCCGTTATAATTTAACATTTCAATCACACTGTGCATATTTTCTGAGAAACACAACGTTCAAAAGGCCATGTTTTTTTGTGGTGTATGAATTTCACTGCTCTGCTATGGCGTCTAAGTACGTAATCGGATTAGCTTTGCTTAACAACGGCAGCCGCTTTGCCTTAGCAACCACATGACTGCTAGGCACCAGTGTTCCGTAGGCCCTTCTCCGCCCTAGTCAACGGCACCAAATTCAACGTACAAAGCACTGTACAAACTGGTATATGTCCTAGCTGTAAAAGCCTGTTGGCATCACCAAGGGCGTCAATCGATTCTCAAAAGTGGGGGAGGGGGGCGGGAGGGGGGTACAAACGTGTATCCTGATGATAAGTACTTCGAGGGCGAAGCCTAAACGGCGTGGGGTTAGATGAGCCAAGGTGTTGGCCTTTATTTATTCACATCATAATTATAAGTAATATCGGTCCGCATTATTTTCATTTGCACGACGAAACTGGGCCAATGCCACCAAAACAGGCTCCAAAAGCAATGAAAACTAGCCTTAATTAAAGGAGAAAAATATTTAAGGTTGAAAATGATGTAAAATATTTGCTTTATCAAAATTTAGAAACTTCAAAACCTACAAATTCTGAAAAACACATTTTCGAAACCAGAAATGCATTTGTTGCCATGATAATTAAGGGGCCACCTTTATTTCCGGCTGGTCTTCAGTGTTTTATCAACCGTTTAAGACCCGCCACCTGACGGGCTTTCGACCAATAGGAATGGGTAAAATATCTTTATAAATAGCCTATAATGGGAAGACCACAACTATTATTAATGTTCGTAGGGCCTACTTGCATAAGTCCCGGCTTCGTTCCGAATTCGTCTAAGTCGCTGCTGCGACCGTTTCTAATCCTTTCATGTTCTATCAAACAAAAAGACTCCAAAATGTTGTTTCGTATTCAGAGGATTTCGCAGCAGAAAATGGACCGACAAAGTGATCAATATTCTCTCAAGGCAAGGGACCCAATGACGTTAAAGCTCGTTGCCGGAACGAAGCCCGTGGTTGAGAAATGGGGGGAGAGGCAAAAGTCAACAGCAATATAACCACAAGTTGGTGCAACGAGTATTGGTCTCGCCGAAGTTGTTTCGACCTCTCAGATTTCATATATGACTTTTTCTTCATTGTTACGTAATCAAAACACAGGAACCACTTAGAAACCGCGATTTGAAGCCATCTACAATTTTCGGGCCAACTTGTGATTCTAATGACGTCATCATGGCTAACTGTATGTTGCCTGAGTTGGACACTGGAGAGTTTGTCTTGTTCCATGGTGAGTATACGTCTTTCTTTAAAAAAAAATGGGAATAATTATGTTCTATAAAGTGTATAATGTTTACGTTAGGCCTATCGCCAAAGATGGCCAATTATTCTGATCACTCATTGGATGTATCCTGCATGCATTATGAGACGTACGCACTTAATCTCTGCCATTGACGTACATTTTTTATGACAAAATTAGTGATCCGCATTGGCGTATACAATGCTTGCGACACCTTAAAACTGGTGTGTATATATATACGAGATTTTTTTTAATATTCAAAACCTATAACACATTAATGTGCTTGTTTGCGTCAGTTTTAAATGGCGCGCCCCAGTTCAGAAAGTTTTCAGCGAATATTCATATCTATAGTGACGTATCAGCTCATTTATGTTAATTTTGGAATCACGCGAAAAAATATTCGCCTGTTCCGATCGCGGCCGGTTCACCCACAACTGCATATAAATCTTTTACCAATGGGGCACACCGTAAAGGGGCTTACTAAACGCTCGAAGTTGCTTTCAATACGCCAAACCATGTGATTATGAAACTCGAGAATGGGCGTCGCCAGGTTTTTTTTCTTGAGGGGGGCAAACACTCACCAGAGCGAAGTGACCGGCCGTGGAAAAATCGAGAGTGTGCAGATATTTCTCTTCGACGCTTTGTAAGAAAAACGTCCATGTTGTAAAATATACATTAAATTAATAATAATATGCTTCGCCCCTCGTTTTCTTTTTTCCCCTCTTTCTCCTTTCCCCTCCCTTTTCTCTTTTTGTCCTTTTGGCTTTTCCAGCCCCGCCCCCTCACTGCGCCCTTGAACTCAAGGCATTCTTTACGAGTAAATTGTCAACCCAAGAATGTTTTACACAAACAGTAGTAACTATGATAACCTAAGTATGCCAAAGGAACGCCTATTAACGTAAGTAATCAATCGACTACACCTGTAGGATGGGGCCAAATAAGAAACAGCTAACTTACCAGTATACATAAATTCAAAACAGTAAATTCTGGTTAGTACCGTTTTGAATTTATTTCTAATGCAGCTACATAATATTGGATGATTAGATTACTAGTTTTGATCCGAAATATTTTGTCCAATTTTGTGTTATTTTTTTCTGTCATCAGATATGGGAGGCTATACCGCTACGTGTGCATGCGATTTTAACGGTTTCAGCCTGCCGCCAACGTGGTACATTGCACCCAAAGAGATCCGGTAAACTATACAAATCGATCTTTTCATTCAAGGAAAGTACTTTAGACTAGAATTGATTTGTTACGGAGATGCTGCATACAACCTTTGCATGTCCTATTCCCGGCATTTCTGCAACACTGAAAATGCAAGGTCAGGCGTGGTTCTGGGGGGGGGGGGGGCTAAATCCCCAACGTTTGTCTAGCGCCCCCCCCCCCCCAAAAAAACTTCATACCAAAAAATGGCAGTAGAAAATGTTAGAAGGTGACGTCACACGTTAATGGTCTCCCCCTAAAAACATAGTTGTGAAAAGGGTGCATTTGTACACTATTGGGTAATGTGATTGATTGTACGAATTTATCAGCGCACCCCAATGAAAATAGGGTAGGAGCCCCCCCCCCCCCCTAAAATATAGGCTCTAGAACTGCGCCTGTGCAAGGTGCATTTTGTTCTTTTCCATTGACAACGGGAACACGAGATGTCGCTGTGATGACTTCTCGCACATAAGCTCTGTTCTCACCAAACAAATCCCGGCGAACGACACTATGCCCTCAGCGGCGTAGCCAAGGGGGGGGGGGGGGGGGGGGACGTGTCCCCATAAAAAAAATCGTCGCCCACCCCCAGTCGCCGCTTGGAAATGTATTATATAACTGACCACCAACGGGTTGAACCGAAATTGGGCGCCCCCACCCCCACACTGTAACATTCAGCCCCTTCCCACACACGCACATACTGTATTTGCCTGTAATCGGGGATCTCCCATTGTCCCTCTTTTGTTTGTTCACCAACTTTTTAGGAAGACCTCCCATGTGTTTGTACATGAATCCAAATTGGGGACCTCTCGGGAATTGGGGACCCTATTGTCCTCTATTGTTCAACGTCCCCTATTGAATGCAGAAACAAACTCACACACACTCACCCATGTTTACGTTATACATGCCTGGTGTGGACATTCTTGTGATTTCGCGTAGTTAAGAAAAACCTGTGAAAAAAAATCATTTTACTTACATTGTGAAAACTCTTTCAACCCCAATTTTTTTCTAAGATTCCCTTTAGTGTTTCTCTTCATTTTGCCACGGATAAACCTAACCCAAAATGCCTCTAAACCTGTTTTCCAGAGAGGGGAAAACATGTGTGGATGTGGGAAAGTCCACACAACATTTCTTTGTTCTCGTGCTGCTACTTGCTGGTTTATGTGGACATCTTTTGTTCGGAAGTCCACACAGTGAATGTAATGCTTGTACATTGTGTAACAGTAGGCATTGTTATTAAGTCTTCGGTAGCGTTTATTGGTCCACTGATATGTTTGGAAACATGTATAACTACTCTGATGTTGCGATGTTGACGTCGTGGTTGGCAACAAAGTGCCCTCCACGGGTTGGCAAGAAAAGTCTGTTTAGTGTGGGCGATAGAGAACGCACTTCAGCGTATAACTTAATGGCGCTGAAGTGCCAATCAAAATCGGCGCTCTTAAAGTTGTCCAGTGAATGTACAAATTTGCTCCTTTCAACTTTTTATCATTCATAATCAAAGCTTTACCGTCTGTGCTTGCCAACAAATTATAACATCAATTTGTATAATTATTTCATTTAAACAAAAAAAACAAAACTGTTTTGATTTCTATCGTCCGCAACTTGCAAAATGCAATTGAAATTTGTATTACACCTTTGTGTAAACATGGGTGGATTTTCCTTTGATGTTTCGATCAAAAGTGAATAACGTTTGAATGAGGGAATAACAACTTTAGCATTAATATTATTTGCTCGATATCTTATTTGCAGACTCGTTCTGGAGAAGACTTTTCCAGCACAATAGACTTTTGGTTTAGGCTTAAGCCAGAAGTCAGTTCCCGAGTGAAAGTCTGACGTTGCAATAGGGTGTGCAACCAATTCCCAGCTTTTCGTCATGATGGATGTTCATGGTCGGGGCAGTATATTGTTGATGTACCCTAACGTGGCACGGCCCCTATAACGTGGCACACTTTGATTTTTTGCCTGTAGCGCCTAGCTAGAGTAAAAGGTTTAACTGAAATTTCACAGAAAATGCAATTTCATCAAGTTCTAAACACTCCCGTTGATAAATCACGAGTTTATCTACCTGTTACAAAGTTAGAAGAACAATTTAGTTCGGCGTGATTTTCCGATTTATTTCAAAGTGAACAGTAAACCCATTGAAATGCCCCCCAAAAATAAGAAAATAATTTTCTGACAAACATTTAGTTGGCTATGTAAGTAGAGATAAAAAATGGTCATCAGAATTTATCAACTTTACAAAAATTCTTAAATGTTATTTGAAATTTTCGAGATGTATTCAAGTGCGCCACGTTGGGGAACACTCAGACGATTTTGTGCCCAATTTCCGGACACCACCGGGTTTTTTTAATTTCGGATTAAATTTCGTGACACCGAAATTGTTTACAAAGATGAAACAGCAAGCCTTATTAAGGCTGTTTTCAAAGCACTATTTTTGCTATTGGTTTTTACTAGTTTTTTTCGGTTAAATTCTTGTTCTGAGTTTTGTTGTATACAATTTTTTTTTCAGTCAATAAATTCTTTTTGATTTTTTTTCGGCAACTTAGAATGAATCTCATGTAGTATTAATTCAATTCCTTGCGACTTTTACTTCCCTTAAAAAAACTGAGATAAGTAAAGTTTGGTTAGTTGTTGGTAGACCTTGGCAATGCTACTACTGTTCAGAGCGATCATGTTAAAGTTGGGCGGCAGCGATGGGTCTCCTTTATTGTATACAGGGTGGTTAAAAAAAAGGACACCCATCCATTTGACAGCAATTTTCACCTATTTTTTAAAATTATTTTAACTGTCGATTAGTAGCTTTTAAAGTACTGGCCTTTAAGCAAATGTGACGAAAAAAATCGTTGCATTTGCACATTTTGTCGTTGAGCTATGCTAATTTGAACATTTCATGTGCGAAACCTGTTTGTCCACGGAGGTATACATTCCCTTCGCTTGACTGAGCTCAGCTATTGGAGCTTTATTTAAAGGAGCATGACATTTGATTGTTATGTTATGTTATGCAACAATGAACTTAACGCTCAGCTCATTGAGTAGATGATCTTAATAGTGACATGAATAATTGGACAGCTTCAATAAAAGTAACCAGGGCAAAATATATTTTGGTGGGAAGTTTTTAATTTTCATGAACTACGAAAACGTCCAATTTACAAAGAATAACCCGTGGACAAGACTGATTTTTGGTGACTTGTATTCAAATTAGCATAATATCTCTATTTTTGCGACTTTTACTAAGCTTTTTTCACCATGCATGGTTAAAGACCTATAATTGACAATGTTGTGATTTTTTTTTTTTTTAAATAACTTCATTAAGTTGGTGAAAATTGCTGTCAAAAGTGGGTGTCCTTTTTTTTAACCACCCTGTGGAAGACTTACTTGGCAGCAGGAGCGGGATATCGGTGGAGTTCCACTTTGCAAAATTTTGGTGAAGAGTGTGGCAAGTAGGGCCTAGATGGTGTGTTGCTTGCAACTTCATTCTTGACAATATGGCGGGGCCAAATATTAATTGTATTTACCACGTTGTTTTCTGTGTTAAGTAAAGGAGAAGTTCTACCGGATGAATTTATCATGGAAGTTTAGTTAGGCCTATGCCCTTCACTTGTTTTTAGTAGCGTGTCTCCCTGTTTCCAATAGTCAGACCTCTTAGAAATGACACCCATGTGCCCTGCGTTGTTAAGGAACCATATGCGTTGCCCAATCTTGACCTCAGTCAACTTAAACCAGACCAGCAGAGATGAGAGTACAATGTGCATGTGCCCCATACACTAGACGCCATGCTAATTAATTAGAGTGGTGTGTCGATCCTGTTCGGATTCTAACACCATCAAGTAATTGATTTTTAGCCAGATTGTACTTTAAGATAAATCATTTTACACTACTTTTTGGTCTTTTCTGGTGATTTTTTAACATACTGTTTTTGCTATTGGTTTTAGTTTTTTTCGGTTTAAGTCTTGTTTCAGTTTTGCTGTAGGTTTTTTCAGTCAATAAAGTCTTTTTGATTCTGGTTTGGCAACTACGAATGACTTTCATGTCTCTATTCATTCAATTCCTTGTGACTCTTCCCTTAAAAAAATCAGAGATTAGTAAAGTTCGGTTAGTTATCCTGATAGAGAGTTTCTTTTGGGCGTGTTCCCCCAGTTTCCAGAATACACAAGCATCACGGAAAAATTGTGGTTGTAGCAACCATTCTCAAGAGAATAAAGTGATCAAGGGCGTATCCAGAACAAAATTTGGGTGGGGGCCAAAAGTAATTTTCGTCCCTCAAAAAGTGGGTCAAAAACTTATGGCGTGGGGTGCGGGCCCTCTTAAGGGCCCCGAACTTTGTTTTGATTCTAGATGCTCTGTGGTGCGATCTGAGGCAATTTCCTACCACAATTCCTGAACAATTTTTTTGGAGGAAAAGATGGTGGTGTACGTTGTGCCTGCCCTTATTGCGACGTCACTTAAAAACAAAATTTGGTGGTTTTTTGGGGTGGGGGCACGGCCAATTTCACCAAGTTTTCATTCAATTTAACGCCTGGCTCATTCGATTTAGATTGAAATTGAAAGAACACGCAGATCGGCATTCGACAATCAAAAAGAATCATTCAATTTCACTATCCGAGCAAACTATCGCCTTTTAGCTTCACTCGTCCTTATCAAAGATGCATTCATATTAAAAGCATCGCGTTGTTCATTCAATTTCGTCTAAACCAGCAGTAAAGGGTTGATCGGGCATTCGTTTTCATTAATGGGCAAACATATTTCACATTTTGTCAAACATCTGTTAAGACTTCATACGTGTCCGTATTCCTTAGCGTAAATTATGAGTTTTTCTCAGGAATTCTTTTTGTGGAACTCTTTACTACTGTGAAATGTAAGAAAACTACACATTTGACAACATTTTGGGGTTAATCTTATCGCCAAAGTGCACTTCTTTAACCCTTAAGGGACCGAGGCGGAATGGTCAAAATAACCCGGCCCTTTTAAGGTTAAACACTTAAAGTTTCCGTGCTTTCCGGACTACGTATGAACGCGCTGTTACTGTCATGTCATTTCAGGAAGACACTGTTCAGTTTTGGGGGTTTTCTTTCAAATTATTTATCCTAAATTTGCTAATTGAAAACATTTGTGGGAAAGGGTTGCTCACTGGCTTACTGCCATGCATACTGACACATCAAAGAATCACTAAATGAAAGAAATTTATAACAGCAAAATATCAAAAATTCTAACAACTTTTTCGTGCTTACATAGCCATGTAACATTAATCATGCCCGGAATGCCATCACAGGTTTTCTAATGAATATGAAACTTTGCATTAGCATAAAAACGGAGAAGGCACCAAACACATCCTTCAAAAATGAAAAATGAAATTTGCAAATAAGGTTAAATGTGACACAAAGTTGTATTTTCAAGGTTGGCATTGCAAACTAACTTTGCATGGGCCCTGTGAATACAGTAAGTGTTCGGTCAGACATGCGCAAGAAAACATTTAAGAAATAACTCAAGAGAAATGTTCCCGATGGTACATCCATTGCCAAACATAGGTGTTCCGATGTCTTGCACGTCAAGAAATCGTCAACGTTAAGATGCCCCTTGCTCAAACGTTTAAACAAGTAGTAAAGATAAACAGTGAAAAACAAATTATCTTAGTCACTTATCTTAATTCGTAATTACATCTTGTTTCCCTCATAGGGCCTATCAGTTAATTTGTAACATTGTAAGTTTTACAGTTATCAAGTTTTGGAAGGAAATGAACCTCGGAGAAAAATAGGAAATGTATCGATTACAATTTTTTACAAATTTAAATGACCAAACGATGAAAGCGATTGCCCATAAACGAATAAGAAACGAAAAGCATGGTTATACTTTAGAAGCGCACAGATGTTCGCTAATTTGAATGCGTCAACCGTCAAAAGGTTTCAAAGACTTAATTTAAGACTGCTACAAGTTAAGTCTTGAATGCACTAAAACGAAATAGGATGCCCGAAAATGAAAACGAACATTCAGAGCAAAATCCTGGCTGCCTAAAAATGAAATTGAACGAACCCAAAACGAAAAAGAAACCCCAATTTGACCACATGTGCAAAACTCGCAGGAAATTGAATGGCTGATAATGAAACTGATTGGAAAAATTCGGAAATTCGCCGGGAAAACCTATATTATTACATCACTTCTCGTGATGTTAACAATGACATCTTGTAATTGCGAAAAGTACCGTGATATTCCACAGTTAAAGAGTTAAGAAATGCAAAATATAAACCAATAAATCATGCAATAAATAGAAACTGAAGCTTTAGCCGCCATGAATAACATACGGTACGTTAAAGTGCTATATAAATGGAAATGTTTGTAACCTGTGAAATCTCAAACCTTGAATTGACGAGTTGGCGTTAAACAGTATATAAGTCCCGTTGTATCCTGAGCATGATTGGACGTATTTCTATTGAAATGCCCCAGAAGATTACCGCGCGACCAGAAATATATCGGTATCCGTGAAACTGAATAGGGCTTGATATGTATTATTTATTTATTTATAGTTTTATTTAGACAGGGTAGCCTCATCAGTTAAAAATAAAATGATAAGAATAAAATGAAATAAAGAAATATATGATGTAAAATCACCAAGAACATTAAGTAAAAGTAAAACCTAGAATGAAGAAACAAAAATGCAAATATGTAAAATATAGGGGTGTGAATACAAAAATTAGAACAAATTTAAACACTAAGATACACATATAAACACTGACGAAATACAACACAGAAATTAAATTAACATAACAAAAACACAAATAAATTTTAAATTTATATTACGAATTGAAAATTAAAAAAAAAGGAAAAACTTGCCAAATAAATCTTCCAAAAAAACAAAAGAACAAACACCCCAACACCCCTACTACCCAATACCCACAATGTCAGGACCAGTCATTGGGTCCCAACTATATCACAAGTATAGGTACCAGTTGGCAACCAATGCACATTTCCGG